TTGAGAACCTGATGAAAGCTATGAATCTTCTTTTAAGAAAAATGTACACAGGACCATGAACACAAAAATTTACATTCAATTTCAGGAGAGGACTCGTGGATCCTGGGTTAAAAACTCTTGTAGTAGAAAAATTGCTAGGGTTTCAGAAGATGATTAGATGAACTGTTTGCATTATAATATGTGACTTTGGGGGAGCTCCTTCACAAATTAAAGTTTGATCATTATTACAGTGAAGATCTATCACTTCAGAACCCTGAGTTTTTGATAACATGGGAAAGAGCTAAATTCTAGGAAGAAACTCTATTACAGGGCAAAGAAACAGAGCAAACACATATATCCCACAAATTAACTTCTTATATCGCTTATTCAGTTAACTCCCTTTATCCTTGGAATGAGAATGCATCTAGTAAACTGACTTATGCCCAAAGAGTAAGAGTAAATAAGGTAAATAAGTATTCAGCACAGAGCTAAAGTAAGACAGCAGCTGTTGGCAAATAGGAAGTAGATGGGGAGTGAAGCCAAGATGTTCAGGAAGAGAATTTGTTCTAGTATTCTGCAGACTATCACAAAAAGAAGAGAAACAGACAAGAGGTCTGAAACTACTGCGAGAAAAATTTGTTTGGTGAAAACATTCTACTAATGGCAACACTTGCAGAATTTTAAAGGCTGATCTTTTTCTGGTTGTCTACCGATAGGGGCACACCTGCAACGAAGCCTACAAATGATTTTTCTAATAAGCAGTCCTGACAGGGAGGTAAAGCAGTGTCATTTAGGGGCAAAAGAACTACTCAAAACAGCTACTGGGACCTGAAAATCACGGGTCAGAAAGCAAGAAAAAGCAATTATAACAGAAGTGTGCTCAAGTACTCTTTGAAGGTTTCTCTTCAAATATTCAGGGATCTACCTTCAGACAAGTTTGGGCAACAAAAGTTTAATGTGCCTAAATAGGCACAATGGCCTGGTTCATCTCAAGTTTAGATGTACCTGTCACTGCAAGGGTTGCTCATAGAGACCTACCATAAATTTCTAAAGTCAAGTATTGAAGCAAATCTGCACTAATTCTTTCTTCGTTAAGGGATATTGACGTCTTAGACTACACTATGCTTTTGTTGGGGCAAAATCCTATCCATAAAACTAATTTTATGTCTGACATACAAAACGTGAACCAGACTTCATCAGATAGACCTATAGTTGTTATGCTTTAAGAAAGGGAGCAAAAACCTATCTGATAACCTTTTATGAATAGCCTGAGGCCCTGAATACACAGCAGCTGCTGAGGACTGAATTCACTGCTCATGTGAGGAACAGCTAGCTGATAGGCCTTTAAAGAATATAAACCTACTATGAAATGAAACGTTTTGTATTGTTTTAGACAAAAGTTGCGAATTAATAAACCTGCTTGAAATATGTCAATTTTAACGATAGAAAAAAATGGGGAAAAGTATCCATTAAAAGAATGGCTATCAACAGTTAAACTAAAAGATTTTTCCTCTATGTCAGAGTATCTATTTTCTTATGGCTTCATATAACAAGAACTATAGTCTGGCAGGAAAGTTATAGTAACAAAATTCCTACAGGTGACATTTAAACTTTAGACTATTTTTCAAAGTAGAAAATTTGTAAACACTCTTTTAACTATATATATATCTCACCTGGATTCTCAAAGTATTTTAAGTTTCCATTCCACTGAATAGATTTACAAATAAATTGCAAAACTCTAAAAGAATCACTGAAGACTTACAGTAGAAATGGCATTCACCATGCCATTGGTAATCTGGTCTTGGCGCATGTGTTTCACAACATCAAACTGGGCTGCTCTTTGCTTAGGAATCACCTGGTCTGCAATCTTCTTCATTTCAGAATTAAATTTTTTGAACAAATCTTCAAAAAGAAGAGATAAAAGCTAAAAAAAAAAAAAGAAAAAGAAAAGAAAAATACGTGGTGATCTTTCGAAAAGCATTA